TTTTGTTTTTTTATTATTTTATTTTTGTTGTTGTTGATTTTTTTGGTTTAATCTTGGGTTGATACTTTTATATTGCTTATTGTATCTTTATTCCTAGTATTTAGAACCCTTAGGAAATGACTACTTCTCAGAAGCATCTTCTATGTATACCTGGTCTTTGGGTTTTGAATCTGTAATGACCCTTAGGCAATCTCGATTTTGGTATTCCAGGAATGATAGCTGACTAGAACAATCACATCACCTTGGACAACGTAATACAATCAGCATCAACAATAGCATCAAACACATCTTAGAAAAATGACAAATTGTAGTAACTATTAATCTGTCATGTTTGACCACATGAACTAGACTTGTGGTAATATATCAAAATCAAGAACCAATCAGAAATGTGTTTGCAGTAAATAAGCCCTTCAATATAGCAAATTTACCCTCCAGGAAGAAGACTTGGGAGGAGTTGGGTGGAGGGGATAGAGAAATAGGAGAGAGAAAGGTTAGAAGTAGGGCTAGAGGACAAAGGAAGATCATGAAAACTTTGGGAAACTGGTGAAGACAGGAGGAAAACAGAGAAGGAAGGAAGGAAGAAAAGCAATAACAGAACAAACTAACATGAAAACTGGAAACTGTATTCATACTCCTATAAAAAAGAACAATAAAAAATTAAAAAAGGAAAAATACAGGAACAAGAATGGAAAGAAATGAAGATGGAAAGAGAAAAGAAAAGAAAAAAAACAGAAAAACAAAAAAAATGAAGAAAAAGAAAAGAAAAATATGTCCTCTTCCAGGTGAGTCTCTGCTGTTGCTGATAGACAACATAGGCAGCACTGTGCAGATCTGAGTTGATTTAATTTCAGTGAGCCAGCCATAGTCCACTGAGATTCAGGCTGGTTTCTGACCACAAGGCCAGAATTGAGCTCCATGACCTCCTGTGGGTTTGAACTCTGACTGGTTCTGGAGCAGGCTGCTGTAAAATGCTGCATCTTTATTACAGTGACTCTTTGCTCTCCGGGTGGGCTTCAGTTCTTTTGTTTTCAGTACTGGGGATCAAAATCAGGACCTTGCGCTTTCAAGGCAGGTGCAGAGCCATTGAGCTAAATCCCTGGCCAAGGCTTCTGTTCATAACAAGCCTGAGAGAGGCTCTCTCTCTGCTGCTCACCACTCTGCCACCTCCCCAAACTCCAAATGATGGTCTTTCTACTCTCTGCCATTGTCTGGATCTGGCCACCACTCTTTCCTGTGGGTTGGGCTACTGCTGAATTGTACAGGTGAGCGAGGCTACTGCTGAATGGCATGAGCAGGCAGGCTGTTGCTAAATGGGCTCAAGGGTGGAAATTTAAAAGGGGTTCAGGAGAAAAATAGAGAAATAGAAAAAGAGGAAGAGATAAGAAGCAAAGCTGGAGGACAAAAAGATACATGGACTTTGGGATCTGGTTAACAAGACAGGAGGGAAGGAAGAAATAAAAACAACAGAATGGAACAAAAACAAAAAAGCAAAACAACATTCACACTAATATTAAAACAAGGACAATTGAGAAAAGAAGAAAAAATATGTCCACTTTAGGGTGTGTCTCTGCTGTCACTGGTAGACAGTGGGCAGACAGAGCCTAGATTTATGTTGATTTATCCCAGTAAGCCAGCTGTGGATTTATGGTAGTGTAATGGATAATCCCAGAAAGCCTGCATCTGTAGTTCCACTGATGTTTAGACTAGTTTCTGGCTGTGAGGCTGGAACCCACTTTCTTTATCCTGTAATATTCTATGTGCCTCCTGCTAGCTTTCTTTATCCTACAATACTCTGTGTGCCTCCTGCTAGTTTGAACGCTCCTTGATGTCCTGATTTGAACTGGGTTCTGCCTGACACTGGGAGCCCCTAGATAGAGCCAGCCCACAGTTGCTCTGAATTCTGTGCTCAGTAGTCCCCTCTCCAAACTGGCTACTGGCCAATTGCCCTCTCCTGGGCTTGAACCCTAATAATTATCCAGTTTCCACAGTCCAACATGTCTATCACTCTGCTTCACTGGTGCATCTCTCCACTGAAGTCTCTGGGGTTGCCAGTAGTCACTGTGTGCTTCACTGGTGCATCTCTCCACTGAAGTCTCTGGGGT